TGGTCCTGTGTTGAGAGAACTCTGGAAACCACGCGGACTTTTGAGCGTTGGTCGGAGTAGACTTGGCTTCCCTGATTGTGACATCGATCACTTAGTACAACTGCTGGTCTGTAAGAATCAACATACACGGGAGGCGCTTGACATCGGAGGTGATTATGATGTAACAGTGGCAGTAAGTTATGATGGAGAAAGTGCATCTAGTCTTAAATTGCCTGATTATCAGTGTAAACGCATCAAAAGTGAGCTGACTAAAAGCGGCACAGACGCATCCATGATAGGAGTTATCGGCTACCTGTTCCGCTTCCACGAAACTGACACAAGATACAAGATCAGTTTTTCTTTAAATGCCATTCAACCGAAAAGAAGAGGGAAAAAGAGAAGTTTAAAGGAACACACTGCTTGTGAAACGATCTGCCAAATTTCTGTCACGCTAGAAACAGGACCCATGATATCATCAAAAACAGGCAAGGCTAAGAAAATGACTAAAGAGAGCACTGTTTCCCTATTGTTTGCCTTAAGTCCACCTTCCCTTTCTGAAGAGAGTACTATGCTGTACAAAAGATCCTGGTGGGTTACGAATCAGCTTCGGTCATACCGTAACAGCTTTAAGAGTGAAGATTTTTATAAACACGCAAGCGATCTATTGCTGACGTTTACTGACGCAGACACTCACATAGCCATAAAACTGGAACAAAGCATGAAAGCTTCTTACCAAGACCAGCCAGACCGCGCTCTACAGTTGATCGACGAGGCGTTCAGTTTCATGTCTGAAGCAAAAAATCCTCAGCTTCTGGCAGGTAGGGGCTACTTCTATCGAGCAGAAATCTTGAGAACACAAGGAAGCCTAGGAGAGGCTGAGTACTGTGTGAATCTAGCCTGGCAAAACATTGCTGGGTGTCAAACGGGCCTCGAAACAAGCTTGATTTCTTGGGAGAGAGCAAGTATATTAATAGATTTCATCGGACGCACTCCCCATCGAAGCCTGAAGCTAGTCAATGAAGCTCGAAGTAATCTGGAAAAGTGCATCGACGTCTGCCTGCATGTGGAAACAGAAAACAGCGATTTGTTTGTGAAGCAGGTCTTCGTGATTGCGTTACTCGCAATGATAACAATTTTGCTCGATTGCGACAGCGATGTCGCCCGAAAACGCACTGTAAATGAAGAATTTATCGCGAAAGCACAATGGTGCTTAGACACACTGAGAAACAAGTACTGGTCGGAAATGACGCTGGTAGACAAAGTTTACTTCTACCTGTCTAGTTCTGATCTGGAATATCGACGAAACAATTACACGGCAGCAGAAGAGTTTGCTCGTTTGGCGAAGAACAAGGCGGCGGAGATGGGCCACTACTTGCGAAAAGCGCAGGAACGTCTCGATTGCATGCGCCTAATCGCGCGCGGTCACACAATCAACAATGGTCCGCAGCAAAGTAAAAGCGAAGGAGAGAATGCCGACATTAGCTCGTCAGGAGCGGAGTCTGATTGGCTGACTGCAATATTGAATTGATGTTACTTATTGAGTCGAAATGACCTCACATATACATGTACAGCACTGATATCTCACTGAGTGGAAACCGAGAACTAACGGCAAACGCACAAATTAAATATTGAAAATAAACTGAGAGGCAGCCATTTCGACATTTGAAGGCAGAACCGTTGCCATGCAGACTGTTCTCTCGGAACTTTTTTAACATCAAATTTTCCAACCAATGTAAGAAATAAAGCTAGCCTTTAATAACGAACATCACGTAATCTGAAACCAAACAAGCTACGTATATATTTAAATGCTTTTCCTGTAGTTGTTTGATCTTTTAATATATGACTTTAAGTCACTGGACCTTTGTCATTCCCGGCATGGCATTTAGCCCGTATCAAAGTTATTAATTTGAAGTGCTCGACCACAAATTACAGTGGAAAGAGAGAACTCAGTGTATCCACAGGGGACCCGTACACTACATTATTAGCAGTAAAAATAAATGCACTGTTAGTTACCTGTGTTCCTGTGTTTTTTTAGTCGTTTAGTCACGCGTTCGGTCACGGTTGATCGAAAAGGTGCGGGCTCTGGGAACGAGCTGTGATGATCGTGAAAAGGAACACGTTCAACAAATGATGAATCATTAGCTAGCTGAAAAGGAACCGATTTAAAAGAAAAAAAAAAAAAAAGGAAGAAAAAAAAATCAGAAGACAGAAATACCTATAGTAGTTTCCTTCCAAAAATACTGCTCACTTTCAAGTGAAAGTAAAGATATAAAAACGACAGATGTTCGAAAGGAATGTCAAAACGACACAAGATAAGTTTGATTCTGACATCACGCACTGGGGAATCCCCGAGGAGAGGTTACATCTATTTTAAAAAACAGCTACGAAAAAATTGCTTACGCTTTCGATTTCATATCATCTGGTTACGTGTCTGATGTATGAGCTTAAATAGAGCCTGAATTTATGGCGATGTCTTGCTTTCTAAACCATTACTCAGCCGTCTTGGAAGCTGGCTATGTGATAACTCCCTGATAAAGTTGTATCGGTTTTGACAACCCGTTGGGAAAATTGTAGAAAGCGTCAAAATTAAATTTCCCGAGCGAAATGGCTACTAGTGGAGATTTTGACGAAGGTCGAGTGAAAAGATGCGATGCAGTGGGAGCCTCAGATGATTACAATGGGACTGATGATCCTGGAAGTGATTCAAGCGAGGAAGAACGAGCAGCAAGCGGAAGTGACAACTCCTTTGTTTTGAATATTAACGCCAGTATATTGCAAATTGGTGGAGATAATTTGCTGAACTTTAAAACTGTTGATGATCCGATCCCTTCTAAAAATCCCAGCAAGATTAAAAGCGGCGATGAAGGTGGTCCTGTGTTGAGAGAACTCTGGAAACCACGTGGACTTTTGAGCGTTGACCGGAGTAGACTTGGCTTCCCTAACGTTTCCGAAAGTGAGTCAGGCGAGGAAGAGCGAGCTTCGAGCGGAAGTGAGAATGCTATTGTTATGAACATTGTTAACCCTTGTATCATGCAAATTGGGAGCGATAATGTCCTAAATTTTAGTCCAGTGGATAACTCGACACCTTCTGGGGACTCCAGCAAGATAAAAGGAAACAACGAAGGACAACCTGTTTTGAGAGAACACTGGAAACCCCGTGGACCTCTGAGCGTTGTTCGGAGTAGACTTGGCTTCCCCGATTGCGACAACGATCACTTAGTACAACTGCTGGTCTGTAAGAATCAACATACAAGAGAAGCGCTTGACATCGCAGACAATTACGATGTGACAGTAGCAGTAAGTTATGATGTAGCTGGTGAATCTAGTCTTACATTGCCTGATTATCAGTGTAAACGCATCAAAAGCAAAAGTAAAAGCGACACAGAAGGGTCCATGATAGGAGTTGTCGGTTATCTGTTCCGCTTCCACGAGTCTGACACCAAATACAAGATCACTTTTTCTTTGAAAGCCGCTCCACGGAAAAGAAGAGGAAAACTAAGAAGTGTAAAGGAACACACTGCTTGTGAAACGATCTGCCAAATTTCGGTCACGCTAGAAACAGGGTCCCTGATATCATCAAAATCAGGCAAGACTAAGGAAAAGCCTAAAGAGAGCGCGGTTTCCAAATTGTTTGCTTTGATCCCACCTTCCCTTTCTAAGGAGAGCACTGTGCTGTACAAAAGATCTTCCTGGGTTGTGAATCAGCTTCAGTCACGCCGTGACAACGCAAAGTGGAAAGATTTTGACAAGTATGCAAGCGATCTATTGCTAACGTTTAGTGATGTGGACACTCATATAACCATTAAACTGGAACAAAGCGTGCAAGCTTGTTACCAAAACCAGCCGGACCGCGCTCTGCAGTTGATCGATGAGGCGTTCATTTCCATGCCTGAAGCTAAAAATCAGCATCTCCTGGCCGGAAGAGGCTTCGGTTATCGAGCAGGAATCTCGAGAAGACAAGGCGACCTGGGGAAGGCTGAGCATTATGTGCAACTAGCGGAGCAGAACATTGCTGCGTGTCAAACAAGCCTCGACACAAGCTTGATTGCTTACGAACGAGCCAGTATGTTAATGGCTTTCATCGGACGCACTTCCCATCGAAGCCTTACGCAAGTGAATGAAGCTCGACGTAATCTGGAAAAGTGCATCGACGTCTGCCTGCATGTGGAAACAGAAAACAGCCATATGTCTGTGATGAAACACCACTTCGTACTTGTGTTGGTGAAAATGACGATGCTTTTGCTGGATTGCCGCACCGATGCAGCGCGAAAACGCACGGTAAGGAAGGAATTTATCGCCACAGCCCTGTCGTGCCTAGACACGATGAGAACAAAGTACTGGTCAGAGATGGCGCAGGGAGATAGAAGTCTGTTTTACCTGGCTAGTTCTGATCTGGAATACCGACGCAGTAATTACTCGGAGGCAGAAGAGTTTGCACGTTTGGCGAAGGAGAAGGCAATAAAGATGGGCTTCAAACTGGAAGCTTCTCACGCGCAGGAACGTCTCGATTTCATGCGCGTTATCACGCGCGGTGACACAATTGACAATGGTCCGCAGCAAAGTGAAAGTGAAGGAGAGAATGCGGACATTAGCTCGTCAGGAGCGGAATCTGATTTGATGCATCTTATTGAGTCAAAATGAGCCTTTAGTCTAGCTTGAAGCTTGACCATCAATTTAAACAATGAGCATGCATATATTGCACGGATATCTGACAGAGTCGAAACTGAGAACGAGAAACAGACAGTAAACGCTCTCAAGTAAAAGAGTGTGGAAGGCATGCAGCAAATTCGATTTTCAAAGGCAGAAACCTCGCTATGCAGACCTGTTCTCCCGCAATCTTAACAGGGGTGTGTTGTTTCAACATCAAATTCCTTAACCATTGTAGCATATAAAACTAGCCTTTTATTAAAAGTAGGTAAATTTTCACGAAGAACATAACGTTATTTAAAATTAAACAAGCCATGTATTTTTGGAGATGGTTACGTCATGGTTGTTTGAGCTTTTGACTTGAAGTCCCTGGAGTTTGTCACAGTACGCTCCAGTACTAAAACGTGACCGAAGTTCTGATCTGATTAAATTCTTAAAAATTTAAATTCCTCGACTAGAAATTACATCAGAGAGTACAATAATTTGAGGAAAGTTTCATCTAAGATAAAGCAGGTGTTTTAGTGCATAGAGCATGGTTTCGCTTATTAATAGAATATTTTGATGTATTGTAGATCCAGTAGACTATCTTGTTGGTATGGATTTCACATCCGATAAAACTGCTGTTTACACCGTTGCAAGTTATGATCATTCAATATTTCGATTCTGGTACAGAGTTTACACATGCTGAGGCCCTCTAGAGGTAATGGGGAACGAAGGTACATGAACTTTATTTCGAGGGAACAACTGGGACGTATATATATTTTTAGTATAATTCAAGGGTACTTGGGATATTATTAACAGAAAAGTCAGCGAAGAAGGGAAAAGTGGAACTTATTATTGGGGTGTGAGGGAGAGTCAAGGGAAAATATGAGAAATATTTAGGGCAATAAGGGAACATGTTGTAGTCATAATTTTGGTTCTGTTTGATCAAAAATGCAGCAATGCAAATTCGGCGACATCAGTTCCTTTTGAGCCCTGAATAAAATTCAGACCAACAGCACAAATTTTGTAAACGAGCATCCCTCAAAGATCACTTCGAAAACCAGCAAAGATCATTTGAGGTCTTCGGACTTTTATCGACCTAAAGAAATCGTGCGAAGATTTCTGAAACATTTTGACGCTTCTCGGATATTCATGAATGCATTTATTTTCGGAGATTCCACGAGGTCCTCCCAACAATTTAACGAATTAACGTCAGTTTTTTATGCGTCTGTCCTCTTATTGATGATAAATAGCGTCATAACACGACTCTGGTACGACAGCGATTCAAACGTGGTGCTTTTATCGCGCCAAACAAAATTCATAAATTATATTAATGTATTTTGGAGAGATTGCGTTTCCACGGGGAGTTAGGAGGAAAATTGTTACGAGGCTTCAGTAAATCTTGAGTTTGGTTCGACTCTGGCATGAAGTCTGAATCAGAGCTGTATTTTTCTTTTTTGCCGTGCTACAGTCAAGGCTAATTGCAATTAAGTTCGGCACGGCAGAAGCACGACGTCTGAACCGGACCTTAGCTTAAAGAGTGGAGTTTATTCTGCTTAGATTGTTTTCTGTTGATACTGAAGTACAGTTAGATTGATATATAACCAAAGTAACAAGATCTTCAGTGGCGGCTCCAGACCTTGAGCTAAGGGTGTGTGGTGGTGGTGGTGGTGGGGTGCTTGCCCTGCCGGCTTCTTCCTTCTGCAATTTTTTCCTTTCCGAAAACAAAGTGGGGGAGGCCGCAGACCCCTCCCCTAGATCCGCCACTGATCTTATTTGAATGCATAGGAATGTTTGGAACCCCGGCGACTTCTTCCAGTTTCCAAGGGAAAACAGGAACGTGGATGCATTAGCCAAGAAAAGCAAAAACAAAACTGAACTATAAAGCACGCGGTTTAGAGTGAGACTACTCTAGCTTGTATCTATTGAAGTTAATATCTTCAAAGCCACTTTAAATCAGACAGAAGATTGTCTAATCAGTGTATTGTTATCATCTGTCAGTGTCTTCATTGTGGCGATTCGTTTCAGTATACAGTGAAACCTGTATTAAGCGGACACCCTTGGGACCCTCTAAACAGGTTCAGTAGTAATAATTAATTATTAACCCTTTTGTAACACAGTGCAAGATCAAAGACTGCTCATAGCACAATGTCCAGACAGTCAATGCATCCATCTGGAATAATCTACTTAGCTTAAAAACGACATCGCTGAACAGGGTTAAAGGTGTCTGAGCTGAGCTTTTAGAAGTAAAAAGCCCTTGAAGTGTCCGCTTATTGCAGGTTTCGTGCAACAAAATGGCTTAATATTGGTGTCCGCGTCCGCTCAACAGAGGTGTCCGCTGAATGCAGGTTTATTTTACAGTAAATATGGGAAGAAAATTGAGGGACTCAAGCTGGTGTCCACTTAATAGAGGCTGGCCGCTTAATATGGGGTCCGCTTAATAACGGTGTCACTGTAATCGAGCTTATCGGAACAGCGGCGCTTATAATCAAACCACTCTTAAGTGGAAGCGCTGAAAGACGATTTCCAGTCCGTACTGCGCAGACT